CCATCTCACGCCATGATTCCAGAAATTTCTTCATGCATACATATCATTCATCGATTCATACATACACTACATCTACCTAATCATTCCTCTCATCCAATTCCTCAGTCCCCTCCACAATACCTGATGAAGTTATCGACGATAACAATTGCCCGTCCCACTCGCTACGCTCATGCTCACCTCCCCGTCTACGTGCATGCCATTCTCCGTCCCCTTCCGAGGACCCCAACCTAAGAAAGCTCGGCATCCCCGTTTCCCCCATCCTCCTCCAAAACGCCACCTTGTTCGTCGCCCACTGAATAAACTCCCAAGCCTTTTTCTCAACAATCCCCTCTCCAAGCCCGCCGTTCCCACCATGACCCTGGCTGTGACTATGACCATCGTCACCGGAGCCATCAATATGCTCCTGAGCCTCAACCTTGAACTGATACTTCAAGCAATCCTTAACCGTGACGAGACCGGATAGGCGCCCACGATGCTCGACGAGAATCACCCTCGGGCCCATTTTCTTGAAGATCTCCATAACCGTCTCCAGTGGCAGGCGTGGGTGAACGGTTATCGGCGCGGGGTCAACGTACGGGCTGAAGTCTATGGAGCGGAAACCGGTTGAGATGGCGATGTCGTCAAAGGTACGGGAAGGCGCCTGATCATCATGGCTGAAATCAGAATTGTAAGGGCTGTCTTCAGATCTGGATGAAGAGGAGGGCTTGGACCCGAAGGTTTGCAGATTGGGCGAGGGTACCGGGAGGGTTACGGAGTTTGAGGACGGAATGCTGCCACGCTGGCGATAGGAAGTAAAGGAGGGTGTGGTGGTGAAGCGACATTTGGCGTTGGGGGAAAGGAGGCCTTCTTGTTTTGCACGATTGATGGCATATTGGAGCTCTGTCCTGCCAATAAAGCCAATGACGACTTTGTTGATAGCATCTTCAACTATCGGAAAGCCTTTGTATTTGTGTTGCCGCAGAAGTTTCTCGGCTTTTGATACGGGAAAGTCGGTTGCCGGAAGCACTGCGGGTTTGTTGGTCATGGCATGGGAGACCGGGACGTTAAAGATGTGGTCTTCTTTGCTGTCAAGGAATGGGAAACCGTTAAACCATATCATGCGGTCTGCGATACCTCCTTTGCCGAAGCTGTTGCTGACTGCCTTAGTTACGCCAACAACAATCTACATTAGAGATTTTAGCTTCAAGGCCATATTAAAGTTTCGGGAGCATTTTCGAAGCTTACCATGGTTGGGAGGATATAGGTTATTGCTGCCCGTGATCTCAAACATGATCACTGTGACCGAGACAGTCGAA